ATCGATATCCTGATCGGCGCACGTGTCCACGCAACGAGGCTAAAGAGAACCACCATCGATGCACAGGTAGGTGTAACATTTGCATCAATAGCGATGGAAAGGTTCGCGATCGTTGGTTAAGATCAACGAAGGATTTATGGAATTTAGTCGTGTTATTGACGGTATTCGAAACGAGTTCGTGGGGAGAATGAGAACGTTCGTGGATGGGAGTATTGAACGGCTAGGGATTTTATTTTAGTAATTTTTTTAGAATGAATTTTCGATGCGTTGAATAACGAGTAATTCTGTTAAATTGTGAAATAAGAGAAGAAAATTTTGAATTTTCGAAGGGTGGAAAAAAAGTTTTGTCGAAAATGTTCGATTTTGGATTTTCAATATATACGTATAACATAATCTTTTACTCTGCATATTTTTGTACTAAAATATGGAGCGAAATAATAATTGAAAGTATGGAAAATATAATAATCTTTGGAGATTGAAAATTCTTGATGGAAAACTGTTAAAAGATAGTAGAAGTAGATAATGCAGTCAAATTGAATAAGCACTCCATTATCATTATTCCTCAAAATGAAAGTTCTTGCGTTGCATTTTGCATATCGATAAAATTATCCATTATCGATAATACACTTCAAGAAAAAAGAATAATCGTTTTAATTATATGGTTATCGAATTACCATTTCTGATAATATTCTAATTATTAAAAAAATTACAATCTTATTCTTATAATTAATTCTAATTTTATATTTTCCATTATATCTTCACTCATTCAATCTTCTGTTTAATTATTTTTCATTAAATTCTTTCCAAAGATAGAAAATTTATATATATATAATTCCACAAAAATAATCAAAATACCTAAAGAAAAAGAAAATAACAAAAAAAGAAATATATTCCTCGAAAGCAATGAAATCTCTTTTGCAAAAATAATGTTGCACAAAGTATTACAATATCGACCTCTTTTCGGGAATTATCTCGTACATCTTCGCGAAGAGGAAAAGAATTCACTCCATAAAAGTATTATCTCTTTAAACAAGCTTCATCTCGGTGATATTCTCTCGAACTTCGCCCAGGGAGCATTATATCCTCGCCTAGAAAATAGAAGAATCGGTAGCAATAATATCATCGTTACTCAGCCAAACAGGAATTACGATATTCCAGAAAAAATTTCTTCTTCATGCGTCACTTCTTCCGCTTGCATTTCGTTCATGCTCCCATTCAATTATGTATGGTAATATTCTACACAAATTAATTATTAATAGGTGGCGTTGAAATAACAAATGAGCAACGATATAATCATAAATAACTGATAATAATGATAAATAAATACCGGGATTGTGGATCCAAAGATCGAATTTCATTGGGCCATCGATAATTCATAAAACAATAGGGATAAATGAGACGCGGTTCGATCACACGGAACGAAATTAAAATTATTGTATCCGTGCAATTTCGTTCGTGTTGAAAATATCATCGATGTTTATTCAAATGCTAATATTCGGGAGAATATCATAGTTGTTTTTCTTGAAATTTTAAAATTTCATAATGGAATTAATTCTTCTTTGAATTTTCTTTGAGAGTTTTCCTCTTCTATCTTGATGGGAGAATCTTGATGGTGATTTTGCGTAAATTTCACGTGTAATTTTAATGACGCAACCAGGATGGTTTCAGAAACAATACTCGACTACAATACATCTACAAGATTCGCGTGCAACATTCCTCTAATTCTAATTAAGAAACCACACAAATTCTGGTGTTAAATGATGAATGATATTTCTCACGATATCTCAAATTTTGAAATTTTCTTGAACTTCTGATCAGGAATTAAGAACAAAATATAATTGAATAATAAAGAAAGCATAAGATACGTCGAGAACTCTTATCAGGATCGATAAATAATAATTAGATCTAAATAACAATTTAGAATGAATAAATAATACATCATCCATTCCACGATCGAAAGACAATTGAAACAACAATTCGGAATAAATAATATATACCATTGATCAATTTCCATTGAAAAGAGAAATCTTTTCACAACAATGATTAACAACGCGGAATAATAAACGTTATCACTGCATATGCACAGGTCGATAAACCGAAATATCCCTGGAATTTTATTCTATTCTCGAATAGAACGATTCTCATGGAAGAATGAACGACATTCGCCAATTCAATGGGAAGAGCCATTGATCACGATAACGAACGTCGAGAACACGCGACTTATCGCGTTTGCACGCCTTTTCACGCTTTTGTTTCTAGCACGGTCGAACGGCGATCACCGTGGCGAGTTAATGAATTCGCGAAATATGCGTTTGCCAAGGATTTATTTATTTATCCTGCGCTCAATGGCCACCGCATTATTCCGGCAGAAACAAAGGCGTCGCCGTTTCATGGCTGCACATATTATGCATATGTAGATGGTGTCGGTAATATGGTGTAACAGGGATATCTAGTTTATTTGTGTTATATTATAGATATGTGTGTCGTCGCAACGTACGTGCCCACTCGTCTTTTGAATATTCATGCCGTTGGTGGACGAGATGTTATAAATGAGAGAAAAATGATGATGTATATCGTTATACGGGCTGGCGTCGAGAACTTTAATCTCAAGAAGATTTATTCGAGGTTGTATTTCGAGGGGCGGGAAGAGTGTTGAGCCGTTTGAATCGTGGTTTCAACTGTTCGGTTGAAGAAAAGAATTTTGACTCGACTCGAGAATAAATGGAGGGGAAAAAAATAAAGAGAACTTTAAAGTTCGTTTGAGGTTATGTTTAACAGGAAGATGTTAAAATTATGATGCAAATTTGTTCGAACAAACTTTAATCTGATGTGAAAGTGTTTTTTTTTTTTTTCAGAAAAATAAAGATGAAGCGTTTTACGTGTAAAATTTATTTGAGATTGAAATCACTAATATTAGTTATTAAGATTATATTGTAATATTCCAAATTTGTTACAAAAAATATTTCGAAGAATATTAATTTCACAATTTCGATTCGGAATAATCAACTTTTATATTATTTTGACGCTCTCCCCTGCATAATCCTGATGGAATAGAGGAAGCTTCTTAAGCTTCGAGGCTTAACTTGGATATTTCTGTCTTACGTCAAAAAGCTAAGTTCCCTGACAAACGTGTCGTAAATTTTATCAATCCTCTTTAACTTCTCTCATCCATAATTCAAGTTTAGAACCTGATAATGTTGAAACTTTTTAATGTTCGAGGACAAATACCTAACTAACAAATGACATCATGATATTCAATCACCTTATAATGACTTTTTTTTAACAAATTTTTTTAAATATCCAAGTCAAAGTAAATTTATACAATTATTTACTAAAAGATATCAATTATTATTTCAAGTATCTTCAATCTGATCATTCGTAGATTCAACAAAATTTGTTGTTATCGTAAAGATTTCGAATTTTAACGGGAATAAAGATACACGTTAAAAGATAAGAATTTAAATCAAACCATCCTGGCATTTTTGTAGAAATTTTTTGCTCCCCTTAAAGATTAACTCTCACATCGCCGAGCTTAATTAGCTTTGTCGCTCATTCTTCATCTTCGAGCTCTCGCCAATCGATTATAGCTCTTTTTCTATTTGACCATTATGCGTTCCATTGACTCGAGTTTCGTCTCGAGCAAATATCGAATGGAATTTTTCATTCCATTTTCGATGTTTCCGAGCTTTCGTTGTTGGTTTTCGGCCTGGTTTTTACTCTAAAATACGATTTCGCATCGAAAAAGCAAATTTCATACTTAATATAGGAATATTTACTGAAAGTAAGAAAACTTGTCGTTTATTATTATTTTTGATCAAAATAGTTGATCTGATTTTTTTAAAATCATTTATTTTATTCCTCACAGAATATTTCCTATTGTTATCATTAAACTTGTTCAAAAGTTTATTCAATTCTTTTATATTTTTCTTTAAATTAATTGTAATTCTGATGGTTAAATTTAAAAAAAAGTTCAACTTTTTCAATTTATCTTTTTTTTCGTTTCATTTCATTTCCCATTCGCAATCGATTGTTCTTTCTATTTTCAAAATTTTCCCTATTGAAAAAAATTGTTTTCGCGATGCGAAAAAAAAAAAGAAAATTGTTTTTATGCCAGAAAATGTTCGTGCAACGTTGAAACTTTCGTACGATGTTTTTATTAAATTTTATAAACTCTCTGATTCAATGACGATTCCCGGAATAACGTACATAGATATTTTAGAAGAGACAGAGTACAGAAGATGTACAAGTAACCGACTCTAACCACTGTAAAGGGAAATGAATCGTTTGTAGTCAGACTCGTGCCACGAAACTGGCGAAATTATATTTTCATGCAATTTCTTGGCGGAATATCTGCAAGAATTTATCAAGTTTGACAAGAATTTTGCGAGAAAAGTTATTTATTAATTCTAATTCTAATTCTAACAATTAGCTTATTCATATTTTGTAATTTAATATTCAAAATTGTTATAATATGTTAGGATATTTTCTTCTTTAAAAATTGCATTATTATAATAAATTTAATTCTTCTTCCACTAACTTTTTCTATTTATTTAATTATTTTTACACGTGTTTTTTTACTTTCGATATATTCACAATATTTTTGTTAAGGAGTTTTAATTCATTTCCATCTCTCGTTAAATAATTAAAAGCTTGGAATATTTTTCATCAGGGAAATTTGATCGATACTTTTCCATTGTCAAAACACACTTTCTTTGTTTTTTTATTTCCAAAAATGTCATGAAAAAAAATAGTCTGAAAAACGACAATAGCTTTAATACCATTTTTACATATATGCAAGTATTCAATTGTTATAGCTGTCTTACATACTGCTTTGCCAATGGATCCTTCCAATACTTCCTTTACAATACCTTATTATTAGCAATACGTATACAATTTATTCATAGAAATTCTATAAATATATATCTATTCGAGAGCAACCAACAATCATTTTTCAATCGTTAAAATTACGAATATATATATATTTTCTTTTTTTTATAAATTTGAATACTTTATTGTTCCAGAAACATAAAACAATATTTTACAACGATCAAACAATGTCGATAACCGAATTTTCAATATTTCTCTTCAATACCAATATACTAGTAGTGTACAATTTATTCGTACGAAATTTCCAATGAATTTATACCATGTCAAAAGACTCATCACTACCAATAACCATTCTATGCATCAAACGTGTTTTCAATCACCAAAATTACAGAAACTCGAAATCCTTTCGAGAACAACTTTCCCATGAATCGATATTAATTCTGCAACGATTATACAGTATCAATAATATTTCTTGTATAAAGGTTTACTATGTTGCAAATTAATGAAAAAGTTTTCAAACGATTGTAAATCTCGATTGTAAACGATCATTTCTACAACGAACGTTTCCACTGCAGTATCCACGCTAGCAGGATTGAATTCGTGGAATTTATGCAAATAGTCAAATACCAAACTTCCTGTCATTATAAATTAACTGTAAATACATTAAATTTGTAATTAAATTGCAAATTTCCGAATCTCATTATTCGAGTATAACGATAAAATTCCACAGTAATTTTGCGCAGTTTAAACCCATCACTATCGATCATCTAATAAATTAACTAATACAATCGATAAAATTACCTTTGAATCCTCTGATTCACCATAATATGTATTTCCTGAAATTCTTTACATTCTCTTCTTTCTTCATTTTCATCTCCTCAATACACTCATCCACGATTCTATTAATTTGTTTTTTTACGAATGTTTTTATATTTTCATTTTATATTCCTTCTAAGAATTGACGTTTTTCCCTTGTAATGGTCGTCATACGAGCAAATCTACAGTTAACCCTGGAAATAAAAATTTTTATTAGCTACGAAGGGTGGAGATCTCTTAGCTAGATAAGCCTATATACAGGGTGTAAAATCTTTAGAGAATGGATAAAATGTTTTCATAAGCATTATTTTTTGATTGAATTTGTAACATTTAAAAATTATATTTTGTCTTCAATGTCTCGTTTTTCTATTTCTTTTTTTTATTAATTTTGAAAAATATTCTAGAGAACAAGAGTGATAAAGATAGAATAACAAAAAGAATAATTACGAATAATTCGTGAAAATTTCGAGTCTATTCTATCAAGGTTTAAATATATTCAAAAATATTCTCTTTAGAATATAAAAAAAAAGAATATAATAAAAAGATTCGAATCCATTTCTATATAAATAAAAAATCACAATATGAACAGTATATAATAAATTAACCAATCGATAAAATAGTATAAAATCGAATCTTCTAAAATTCACCAAAATCCTTTACATGCACTCCTTTAATAATCATTATAAAATCAGAACACGAAATCACACGTTAGAATTAGAAATAATCGTATCAATCATTTCTTTTCCACGGTGATAGGGAAAATTTAATAACTGCAATTACAAATAAAGTTACTTTCATAACTTTTAATAATTTATCGTTACAAAGCACAATAATCGCAAATAATTGTATAATATATCAAACATGGCCAAAATTATATACGAAAAAAAAATCTCAATTATATATAAGTAGTCACGGGATATAAAATGTTATAAATAAATTATTAATAAAAATTATAGGTAACTTTATTCGAGATTTTTCGACTCTTGCTCTGCCATTTCTTTCATTCGATTCAACGAATATTGCGATGAATTTCCGTTTAAACGAAAATCCGCAGAATTGCAGAGAATTTTTCGCGGACACCGTGTAGATGCCAGGTTTACGGCGCGTATATCCACGACGCCGACGTCGCGACGGGCGCCGATACAGGTCGACCCGTGGCGCCCTTTAATATCGCGAAACGCGAGCCGGGGTGCAGCTGCTCGATGAATAGGCCGTCTGTCTCTCGGCCAACTTCCTCCCCCCCTCTCTCTCTCTCCGCTCTTTCCCTCATCTCTTTCTCCTTCTCTCTTTTTCTCTCTCTCTCTTTCCATTCGACCCCTCCTTTCTCGTTAAGAAACCGCGGTGAGTTGACTCTGCGTTAAGCGGAGGATACTTTGCTCGTTTCTTTCTCGCCACCTCGAGAAGTTGGCGAATGAAAAAACGAAGGGGGAGGAGGAGGAAAAGGAGGAAAGGGGGCGCTTTTCTTCCTCCTCTTTCTTTCGCCCTCCTTTTGAGAGGGGAGGTCTTTGTCTCCCGCGCCTTTTCGCGCTTCCGGGACGTCGCATCGTCCCATTAAGAGGGGGAGGAAGGGAAGGGGGAAGTTGCGATTTCACGCTGCTGATGTTCCTGAGATTCCGTGCCGGGTTTGCATTCTTAATGATGCTGCGGGGTTGGTGAGAGAGACGAGGATGGAATAATTAGGTGAAGGTGATTATTTGAGATTTTTTTGGAGGAGAGATGGAAGGGAGAGGTAAGAGTGGATTGTATTTAATACTTTTTTTTTTTTGAATTGTTTTCATTGCTATGGGAATTTGATTTTTCATCTTTGTCGAATATTTTTTTATAAATCGTGTTTAAAATTATAATACTCTGATTAATGATATACGTATGTACATGTGATATAATAATTTATTTATTGAATTGAAATTGTAAAATGTCGTCGTAAGTGTCGAGGAAAAAATTGTATATTTATTTATTTCATCGATGCGTATATCTAAATTTCTATCCATATATTCCAACAATATTTCTTGATAAAGTATAAAATAGAAGTTCAATTACTGCTAATAAGTAAACAAAAAAGAAACCGTTATTACCAACAACAGAATTCGAAATCCCAGAAACCTGGTACACGTTCATTAGTGCCATCAGCATTCCATTTGAACTTCATTTATCTCCCAATAAAATTCCCCACAATTTACAATTAAACGATACACACCGCCAAACGCAACGAGTTAAACGATTCCCCCCACTCGTTAAACCGTCTCGTAAAACATAGTCCACCGCACCAGAATCTCGACCAGAATCTCTCCGCCAAATCTTCTTACCCTCCAACCACAATTATTCGAAAACCATTCTGCAAAATAGTTCCACTCCATCTCAAATCGAGACTCAAATCGGAGGAGGGAGAAGAAAATCTAATGAGTCGTCGGCTCTCAAATTTTTTTCGGAAACCCCCGAAAGGAAAGGATTATCCGGAATTATACAGGGAAGGAAGAAAGCGAGGAGGATTTCTTTTCAAAGGTTAATGGCTCGGCTCGTAACGAGCGGCCAAACTTGTCGAGGAGAGAAGGATACGAGGATCCGAGAATTTCTAAAGACGCGGCTCTCTGATCCACTATGTATACCCCTTTTCGCCGATTTTAATACCGGCCGCCACCCTTTAATTACGGGATCGTTTCGCGTGGATTTTCGTCCACCGTGAAAGACGTCTAACTGTTGCAAAGTATATCCGTGTCTCGTGGAAGAATTATTGTAATTGAGCCTCGAGATTGGCAAGTGGGTTTTATTTGATTTGGTCAGAACGAGTGTTATATGCTTGTTATAAGTTCTTTTTCTCTGGTTCTTCGATCGAATATTTGGTTATTTCGTTGCGACGTGTGGAGATTGTAATTTTATGGGAATGTTTTTCAAAGATTGCTCGTGTTAGAAAAGGATCCAATCATCGGGAGAATGTTTTTTTCAGTGGAAAATTTTTTTTATTATTTTCTTTTGAATTTTGTAATTTTGTAGTTTTTTTTTTAGAGGGTTGCTTGTGTTTGAACAAGAATGAATCATCGAGAGAATCTTTTTCTTTCGTTGAATTTTTCTTTTTCTTTTTCTTTTTTTTGTAAATGGATGGAATTTATAATTTTCATCATAAATTTTGGAAATTTATAATCGAAATTTAATAGAAATTAGATTCGAGGAGAAGATTGTGTAAAAAATATTTTGTTCGTGCATGAATTCGATCCAAAGGTTGTGGAGTAAATATCGTCACTTCGATCTTACGCCAGATTTTCTAAGAATAAATTTCTATTCTTTGAAAGAACGTTCAAGATCTTCATGCATCTTTTCGAATCATCAACCATCCTTGAATATCTGGATTGCTCGATTTCACAAACATTCTTCTTGCCTATAAATCGTAGCAGTATGAAGAAACATAATTGAATAATCGTTGAAGTTATATAATTTTTAGAACAAACCTCTTAATTTTTATTCCAAAAAACTTCGATAGATTAAAAAATTTTCTAAATTATAACAAGTATCTATCGACAAAATTATTTTTTCGACGAAAAATGAGGACGATTCTCATGAATTCTCATTTTCCGAAATCAAACTCTTTTAATCGTTCAACAAATCAATTCCATTTGTGCAATTAACAGTTTATTTTTTTTTTTTCTACCTTTTCAGCCATAATTATCTCGAGTATCTTGCCCTCATCTTGGCAATGTTTGCCTCACTCCACTTGACGACTCATGATTGTCTTATTCTATTTGTCTGTTCGCTAATTCTTGTTCCACTGTCCATCCTCCCCCATTTCTACTCCCAATACGACTATTTATTACTCGTCTCACTCTTGACAAGATAATAACACCTTATTTATATTCCTCCGTATTTTTTATTCCAATTATTTTTATTCCAAATATTTTTTATTCCATTACCAAGACACACCCGGATATTATTAAAATCCCTTCAATTCCAAGAAAATGAAAATTTGCACTTCTTACATTGCGCTTTACGCGGCAACGGGGCTGCAGAAATCCACAGATCCCTCCCTCCTAATGGCTTAATTCCTGGCGGCCAAGGTGGGAAATCTCGGCACAGCATTCATCTAGAACGCCGAGTTTTCGCATTCCGCGTTTTCTTTAAAATAATGATTACGTCCTGTTTACGACAACGAAGGGGTTCACTCCGCCGTAATATGCACCCGTCATTTACAGAGAAATGCCTGTGGTCATTCGAAGGTCCTCCCTGTTGCGACGATTTATAATCTCGTCGATATATTTGAGGGGAGAAGGGAGGAGAGAGGGAAAAAGCATTTTCATGTTTGAACGGCGCGAATGCGAGCTTCTCGTTCGAATTTCCCGCGAAATTCGAGAAGAGGAGAGAAGGGAGGGGATCGGATACTCGCCGAAACAGTGAATATTTTGGGAAGTGAAATAATGGGTGAGAAGTAATTTTAATCGCGTTGAATTAATGTTAATTTGGGTTGGGAGGAGTGATTAATGGGTTCGTTGGAGGAAGTGATTGAGGAAAAGGGGGAAAATGGCAATGACAAGCGGGGTTAGACTCGATAATTGATGGAACTCGTGATTACGTCGTTACATGGATCGAAATAAATTTAGTAGATTGATTAACTTCTTTTTTTTTAATATTTATAACGTTTGATTTATGTACGTTATTTATGTACGTTATGGATCGAGACAAATTTAATTTGGATTGATTAATATTTTTAATTCGAATTCTAATTGTTTGTAATATTTCATTAAGAATCTTTTTATATCTCGTTTAGGTCTCGTGCAAATATTAAGCGTTTCTCTTTCGAAAATCTCACAAATCTCTGTTTAAATAGAGAAATATTTATTACCTTCCAAATATTGAAAATCCTTTTCTGTAAATCTTTACAATTTCAGTTTGTCAAATGTTTGTCCATGTTGCAATACAAATTCCTCCAAGTCTCGATCATCGAAAATTCACCCAATTTCTCTCTCTCTCTTTCTTTCTTTCTCTTGAAAAAAAGATATATATATATATACACACACATACAAAAAAAATAAGTCATACTTGACCAACATGACACACCTCTCACCCCTAGTTCCCCAAAGCGCCGAAATTGCGGAAATAAAAATAGGCCATCGTCGGTTCGTTCAATCGAAGGTCCTCGAAACTCGATAAGAGTCCTCCGTTTCCTTGAACGACGATTCTCCACGACAAAAAAAAAATAAATAAAAGAAACGATCCATAATAATATATCCGTATATCTCGTGTATATCCATGTACATTGGGCGCGAAAAATAGGAAAGATTCGTTCGAATCGATCCTTTCTCCGAAGGAAATTTCAATCTCGATGATTAAATGGGAACGCGTAACTAATAGAATTCACGTCCTCATGGGACGTGAGCCTTTTTTCCCCTCTCGATAAAAAAAATAACGAAGGAAGAGAAAAAGAAAAAAAAAGAAAGCATGGAAAGAGATAAAGAGGGAGAGGAGGACGAGAAAGAGAGAGGAGAAGGAGGAGGATTGCATTCTTATTGTACGGGGTTCGACGCGCTGATTACGCGATCGGGTATCTGGCGATGATGGTGGAAACAAAGCGTGAACGATGGATGAAAAGGCAAATAAAAAAAAGGACATCTCGAAGCGAGGGCAAAGAATTTGTTAAGCGGGTTAAGAGATAACGCGACATAGGGGACGAGTGTATTCCTCTGTTGGCGATAATGGATAAACTGGAACGCCTTGATTGCGTTCCGTTGTGGAAATTCGTTGTTTAGAAATCGAATTTTCATGGCTCTTTGGAGATTCTTCTTTTTTTTTTAGAGGAGACAAGGGATTTTTCCATTCTTTGCCATATGATTTTGTTTCTTTTTTTTTTTTTTGAAATTACTTTTGCAAGATGGCGAGCTGAAAATTGAATTTTTATAATCTGTTGAAATCTTGAAGTTTTGAAAATAGGTTCAGCTTCTTTGGTTCTTTGTAAAGTTTTTTCATTTGGATCTATTTCTTGATTTAATATTGATTCGCTTTTTCGCAAGTCGTGGATGTATCTTTAGAATTCTATTGCGAAAGTTTCTTTATTTGGGTATACAATATTTGATGCATTTTTCTTTTGTTTGGATAAAGTTATAAGGGAATTTTTAATTCCCTGTTGTTCTGAAAACTTTCTTCATTTTTTTTACAATTAAAATTAAAAATAAGAGTATCCTTCAGTTTTCTATTGTTTTCTTTATTTGAATATTTTATACCTCATGCATATTTTCTCCTTTTGATAAAATCATAAGAGTATGAAAATAATTTTCCACTCTTCATTTGTACAATCTAATTCTCATTTTCTTTTTTCTTCTATTTTGAAATTTTTATCATTATTCTTCGTCACAAGCACAGAAAAAAATATATTTCTACGATTAAATTTTTACATTCTCTCTCTTTCCACCTCTACTTTAATAATTCCTCTGAAAAATTGTTTTTCTTCAGTTATATATCCTCGGGCGCATGTTCTCTCGAGTTTCCTTGAAAATTAAAGTGCCCATGAAAGTTTTTTTCTACGCCAATAGAATGTTTTCGGTAGAACAGTATACACGCGACTGCGACTTAAAACTCGACTTCGAAGACTCGACTTCGAAGAGGGTTTAACAAGTTTAAAGACCTTAGATCCTGACTGATTTTCTTACGAATTAATTTAACAATTTATATAACCCTTCTAAATCTCTTTCACGGATGAAATTTTATTAATTTCTAATTCCACCTCTAATTTTTCACTTTTGAATAGGGAGGAGTATCGAATAAATTAAATCTTTCTAAATTTAATTCAAATATATAATAAATCAATTTGATTTAACAAGCGAACACGAAACGAGATCACAACGTAATCACTGTTTTAATAATTCAAAAATAACTTGAACTTAAACTCGCTCAATTACTTACAAGCCCAAAAGATTAATTAAGCCGACCTCCTCTCGTCGTCCTCTCATAAATTACTGTTATCAAGCCGTCCATTTATCGGCCTCCTAGTTAGGACAGCCGGATTGCCGAGATGGCACGCGTGGTTTCCACGCTTTGTCGTCGTTACGTTCCTGCGGAACACCTCTGCGGACCGCAGATTCCGCGAGGCAAAATCGAATTTCTGCCTCGTTCGCGTCCCCTCACTCCCACGAAACTATATTTACAGCTCGAATTCCGGCGGTTTGGACAACCCCCTCCCCCCGTTTTCCCAAACTTCCGCCGACGGAAACGAGGATTGTCACACGAGGATTGTTCCTTCCTGCTCAACCAGAGTGATGGATCCAAACTCGCGAGAGGGAGGATTTCCCAATTACGAAAAAGGTTCCCAATTAGGGTGTTGACTATTCCTCGTTCCTTCGCGGCGAAATCGGTGTAATTCGATTCGCGAAAGAACTTTGCACTCCTTGCTTTTGTACTTCCTCAAATGAATAGCGAATGGCGAATAAGTTTCATTTTTTATTTGTATTCATCGCGAGTTTATTATATATATTGTGCAGAGTGTAAATACTTACGTTGTATTTTTAGTAATTTGGATTATTATTATTAATTTAGGAGGAAAGATAGGGAATTTTTGATAACACATTGATTCATTTATCAATTTTTTTCAATACTTAATCTCGTACGATCTTCCAGCAGCATTGTATTTCTTGTTGTTCTCCTTTTCCTCTAGACAATTATTCGTAATTTATTTTCACTCTAATAATTGCAAAACAATTATATTTCTTATTCTACGCCAATATGCAGGATCTGTAAAATTAATTAATTTGGTTAGTAGAAGAATATTCGAGGGAGAGGGGAGGGGAAAAAATTTCATACCGATTCTCTCCGAGGCGCACCGGATTTTCGAATCGGAAATTTTCGATTCCACTTTCATGGATTATTCCCGGGAAGACAAAGGTGAGCCGCGCAAAAAAATCCGGGGAAAAATTCGCTCGACACGGCAGAAAGTCCGGAATTATGGTTGTTATTGGAACAGCCGAGTGCACGGGGATTCGAGTGTCGCGTGTGGATTCGTTTTTCTTGCGGATCGTATCAAAACCGGAGTCATTTGCGTGTCTTCCGGCAAAAAAAAAAAAAAAAAAGGGAAGAAAAAAAACGCCATTTCGTGATTGCTGTGGAAAAAAACGGAGGAAAGGATACTATCTCGGGGGTTATGTATTATTTATCCATCTGTTTTCTTCGAGCGTAGCGATTGGATAAGGTTTATCCATGCGTGAAAATTTTTCAATTAAATATTTGACATTTTTTATCGATTTTTATTGAATTTTTTCTTTCTCTCTCTCTCCCTTTTTTAAAGAAATAAATCATCATAAATTTTTTTATAAATCAATGCAGTATTATTTATCGATCAAAAATATATGAAAATTTTAATTCCTTATTGGAACAATTTAAACAGATGAAAATAGATTCGACACGTCCAGTTTTAATCTAATAAAATACGAAAGAAATACAATGATCAAAGATGACAGATTAAAGTACGAAAATAAATATATCACGTTGAATATTTAAATTTCGCTCATCAAGCGTTATTTCTATTTAAAATCATTTATCTATAATTCGTGGATATATCGTGTGGAATTCTTTGATATTGATTTTAGCTTACTTTTAAGCCAGCTTTATTTTCGATATATGTCAAAAAAATTTTAAATTTCAAATTTCCATATCGTGGACAATTATCACAGGAACATCATTGAACACGAGTAACAATCGTTGAACATATTTTGAATGGATCTTGTTCCACGTTTATCGTGGGAAAATATATTCAAAGTTTCCCTCGACGAAGCTAATAACTCAAATAAAAGTTAGATAACAGTTACGCGAAGAAGTTGAATTTCTCTATCATCTTTCCCCAAGAAACTATGCGTGCACGCGTATGCACTGACTGACTTTTCGGACGAAAAGATTTTTAATTTTTGCAATGACATAATTTTTTAATTTACAAAAGTATACTTTGTAAAATGAAGTGAAAATTTTTGTTAAATCTTCTTCTAGCTATCAAATTTTTAAAAAATTTATCTTGAAAATAAGAGAGTAAACCTAGGGACTTTTCGTTTTTTTGAAATTTAAAGTTTTTTGATACATATCGAAAATAAAGCTGGCTTAAAAGTAAGCTAAAATCAATATCGATGAATTCCATTGAGCACTTTTCGATATTTGTGCAATTTTACGTAAAAATAAAATTTAAAGGAAAAAAAAAATCACGGTAAAATAATTAATTGTAATTAAATATTGCTCAAAATTAAGAAATGACATTTTGGTTGATAATAAGATTTTTTTTACGATATATCTACGATATAGCATAAAAATATTTATATTATAATAAACATTTTGCATTAATTATTTTTTTTTAACCAAAAATAAGTAATGGTTAAAATGGTTAATAAATTTGTTAAGCGTCGAGAATAAGATCTTTTAAAGTACATATTTAATTATTAATACCATTATGTAAATTTTTCTTCTCGTAGAATTCGTAATTCACACATTGCAATTTGACAAATATGAACACTCAGCATGAAAATGGTGTAACAGCTTTAAGCATTCGTATTCCTAAGCACATAGCACTCATTAGGGTGACTAGTATGTCGAGAGAGAGCGAAGTTTACAACAAGAGGGAGCATAATGCTCGTAATTGCATCTAACTCGCTAACAATATTCACCAAACTTTTCCTTTTACCTCGAATAAAACGAATATTTAACAAGAAAAGAAAAAACGATAAATTTTAAAAAGATTTTTTAAAGTCAAATTAGTTTGTTTGAATTGGAAAAAATTCAAAGTTCGAAAATTTTTTTTTATGAAAATTTTTCACGATAAATTTTGCATGATGATACATTTTTCTATTTAACTTTATTCAACATTTGCCATTTTTCTCGAGACATTTTATTTTATAAAAACTTTTCTAAAAATTTTTTTATTGATCCATTACTTGAAAGGTTAAATTTAATCTATTTTTTGATATTAATAACAAATTTTTGATTAATGAGCGAGATCAAAAATGTTCAAATTGGAGATTGTTTATAAAAAAAAAATATAGTGTTCTTTTTTATAAACAATGTGAATTGTAATTAATCTATATGCATTATATTTCGGAATTGATATAAAAAATTAATAATGAAAATTTATATAAGCTGGAAAATATAACAAAAGAAATTAATTTTGACAAGATAAATAAATTCGATAATAAATAACGTGATGAAAATAATACAGATTTTAGGTATTTTTTTTAATCATCATGGAATTATTTAAAAGTACGATTTATTTCGATATTTCGATATTAAAATTTCTCAAAATTTTCCAACGAAAAAAAATATATTTAAAATTCGTTTCATTTTTTTTTTAAATAATCATACATTTGTTATTTAACCAGCAAGAAATTTTCCCCATTTATTAAAATGTATCCAATATTAAAAACCGATCATAAAAGTTCGTTTTATCTTTTTAACACTACTTGGAAAAATTTCCTATTAACCATTATTTACCCTCTACAGAAGTTAATTTAAATACAAATATTCGAGAGAAACAACTTCAATATCATCAAACTTCCCGTTGGTTTATCTTGGTTTATCTTGATGGGAAATGAAACGAAAAATAATCAGGAAAATCCACCGACATCAACCGATTTCCAATAAAATAGAATCGAGAGGAATGTGGAGGAAATCGCCGATAAAACAGTAATAAAAATAAAATCCTGCCCTAAAGAATATTTATAGGGTGTAAGAAGAGGGATGTAAAAAGAAAAGAATTCTAAAATATAGACCAATTTAATTAATTTTCATCTCGCTATTAATTTAAAAAAAAAAAAAATTACAAGAAAAAATTTTCGCGTTCAAAATTAGCTTCGCCATTTTTCCACGCCACTTATTCCTCTCCTCCCTCTCCCTCTCTATTCAAATTTCAAAGAATCATAGAAAATATTATTTTTTCAAAAAATTCTAGCTTCTAAGTAATTTTTCTACTTGCTTATTGTTGAACTCCTATTTTTCCTCTTATTCGCTGTAACGAACTATCGTAACACGTTCATTTAAAAAAAAAAAATTCTTTCCTCCAACATTTGCAAATTAAATACCACGACGAAACGAAACGAAAAAAATTTTAATCGAATCTTTCGAATTTCCACTGATCGAACCAAGATAAAAAAAAAAAGAAGAAATACATACATACATACATACATACATACAGAGCCGGATATATCGAATTTTGGACGTGGACACTTTTTTTTCGAAACGATTCTTTCCGACTCGGCTCGGTGGGATGAGGATGAATGCAATAGGAGAATGCAAATGACACTGACGTACGCGATATTGTGCAAATCGCAGAGAAAACGGAATCGCCGGCTACGTTGTGTATCCGTGTCGGTGTTTGAGCAACGAGCGTGAAATCCCCCTTTTCAATGTAGTTACGGGGACTTGACGGGTTGTGTATCTCCAACCAGTCCTTCTCCACCGTTTCAGATCATAAATATCGCTTCGGGGCCGCGATCTTTCGTCATCCAGGAATACTAGGAATGGAGGGGAGGGGGAAGAGGGAACGACGAAGAGAGGGGATTCCTCTCTTTTTAATTCTTTTTTTTTCTTTCCTCGGATTCAGAAATAGAAATTCAATTTTAGATTGATTTGGTGTAAATAGATATATCTGTTGTTGGAAAAATTGCGATAATTTTATAATTCTTGCACAAGTTTCCTTTCTTTTTTTTTTTTCTAATTTTTCTTATCTATAAAAGGAAAGTTGAACATTGAACCGTGAAAAATATTTCCAATTTTTCATTTTCCAATTTATATTTTTACTATGGAATGTTATTGTTATCCGAGATTTTGCTTATCTAATTCTGCTTATCTGTCGTTTAAAGTATAAATTTTTCATAACAAGTTTATAGAATTAATTTATATATTGTTTAAATTATCGCAAATATTTTTCAACTGTTCGTTCTCAAAATAAAAATTTCAAAATGTGCAATCAAATATTTTAATCAACGCGATTCGAATCCTTGTACCACTACCAATTAAACTACCTTTCTAGTTCCACGCCGAGCGAATCGTTTTAAATGTTTCCGCGAGATTCACGAGATTTTTCATGATAAAACAGTAAATTACGAATAGTGTCTCGAATTTTATGGATGCAATATTGCATTGACGTGTTCTTTTATTCGAAAAAAAAAAAAAAAAAAAGAAAAAGAGGAAGAAAAGGGAAAAAATCGAGGAACGAACGCGTTCCATTTTAACGGACGTTAATTGATACTTTTTAAAAATCATATACACCTCTGCATTTAAGCGTCTCGATTATTTTTCACTACACACAAAAAAATCCTCCACGAACGATTTCTCCCTTTATTTTCCAAAGAGATGTACATTTAGATTTAGATTACATCGCATTGAAATTTATAACGCATCGAAAGATGCATTAAATTTTTTTGTTGTGTCGTCCCTGAAATTAAACAAAAAAAAAAAATTATGATAGAAAATTAGAAAGAGAAAATGTTAATGTAAGTCTTAAAAGATTTTCAATAATACAATTGAAAATAAAAAAAAAAAAAATTCAGAAGGAAATGTTTCTCCAATTCTTTCTTACATTTTCTCTCTCTCTTTTTTTTTTACATTTCTAAATGGAAAAGAGAAATATTATAATTCCAGAAAAGGAAATTTTTAGAGAAGATATGATGGTAAAGAATTAAAATAAATTAAAAGTAAAATAAGATAATGATAATGTAACAAAAGTAGATAGATTTAAATTTGATAAAAAAATGGCATAATTTCAATAACATTTCGAAAGATCTATTGTCTCCATGTTATAATCGTGAATGGAGATCGTTCCATCGTGATGGATAATACGTACATCATCAGATTTGTAGGGCCATTAAACTCAAATCGGAAATGCGGTCGAGTAACTCGATTTGCTCGAGTTATTGGTAAATTCGTCGTTAATGTTCAATTTGAAGATTAAAAGAATCTCATTTGCCTTCTCCATAATTCTTCATACATAATGGATATCGTTTTCGTTTTGCAAGTCACACAACGAGTAAATAATAAAATAAATTATTTTCTATGCTAATCCATTGCTGATAAATTGATAAATCATTTTTAAAATCGTATCTCAGGAGAAGACGTTTCGTTCCTTGAATTTCGTTCCTTCCTTATCCAATTTTATTCTGAAAATTAATTGAAAATTAGAAAAATTTCGAAAGAAAATATTCTAAGATGAAGTTTCCATCTTAATACGCATGAATTATAGTAGTACGTATTAAGAAAAATTATATTAAAAATTATATTTCAAAGAAATTAATTTTCTTTATATAAAAAAAAACAAATTAATTTTTAATTCCATTGATAAAATTATCAAAATTATTTTCCCTTTGATTCGATTCAAAAAATCCACTCTCACTCGTATATCGTACGGAAATATTCTGTAACACGTTATGCTTCGTTGAATGCCAGCGGAATAATAACCAAAATTCACAATGTTCGACGTATATATATTTATATATGTTTTGATACGAAACAAGGACGTTGATACTCGATTTAATATTTCTATTTAGAAATTATATACGAAACGACCTCGGCGTGTGTTTGACGCTTGTATTTACGTGTCGTGACTCGATTAAATGTTTTCCTCGATCGAATTGTTTTGTTCGTCGACTCGACTCGAATAATTTACAGGCTTTAACACAAAAGGCTATTGGGGACGATATTAGAAACCGTAGAAATTTTTAATAGATGCTCGCTATTTAAGGCGACCGAAATTCCCTTGTGATACGTGTACAAGAAAGGGATGAAAAGAGGCATTGAATTTCTGGGAGGGGAAGATTTTTGCGATGATTTCTCTTGTGGAAATGGAATTTTTATTCCGTCAAGGATACTTCTCTTAATTCAGTCGATCGTTACAATACGAGATTCCATATTTGTACTTTTTTTTCATAAGTATTTTCATAAGTTTGTAATGGAAATGGAATTTTTTTGACGATGGAATAGAATTAAATAATTTTGTGGGATATTGTTTCGTGTAATAGATCAGATTACGTAATATAAAATTTGTTAGATTAGGTTAAACGTGCTAATCTAATTTTTTTTGGACGAGATTTTGGAAAAGAAGAGATTTTGTATTGATATTTATGTTGCAAAAAGTGATATAAAATAAAAGTAAGAGGGTTTAAATTTAACTTAAAATGTTGATTAATTTAAACTGCTTTAATCTTTTTTTTTTACTTTGGTGATACCAATATAATATCCTATTTTTATTTAATTTATAAAATTCTATGATAATTTTCCAAGAAAAAAGGAAATTTCCACGTAGTAAATTGAATTAGCGAAGACCTAGATTGTGAAAATGAATTTTTTTAATTTCTCCTTGTAATTGGTATCGTTGAACCATTAAAAACGCTCAATTGAACTTAATTAAAATTAAATTAATTTTTACTCGCTTTCTATTACAGAAATACAGAAATGGATTGTTAATATAATTTATGTTAATTTATACATAATGTATAAAATAGAATAAAGTAATCTAACGACATTAATATTATTCATATCTGTCAAATTTGCAATTCTTTTATTTAATGTATCTATCAGATTTTAGGAACGAATCCTATTTAGAAATTAAAAATCTTTCTCCCACGTTCTGAACTTAATTGAAATACTTTGTAGAGTTCAATTTGATTTTAAAGATGAGTTTTCTTAAAATATCCCCTTTAATTTATACAATTTTGCGACGATTTTCTTTTCAGAATTGGAAGTTCCATTCACGATGAATCGAATTGATAAAGTTTTGTAGAGTTTCATTTAATATGCCAAAGGAAATAGAATTTCTCTGCTAAAACGGGATAAATTAAAATTTGCTGGAGTTTTGTTTAATTTATTAAAGTCATTGTAAATAAATAAATTTCCAATAATTATATTAATCCCAATTTTATAAAATGCTTTCTAATAATTTATTTATTTTAATATACACACGTTAATAATCGATATTTAAAACAAAAATTTCTCTTTCTTTTGTATACTTTATTCATATACTTTATTCATATTAATTACTTGGAAAACAAAGTGCAAACATATACTCATAAAAAGAAAAAATTTAAATATTCAAATCACCAAAAGAATATTGAAAAAGAATTACTTATTGAAAAAGAATAATTAGAGAAGTAAAAACAAAGAATTCCTTTCCATCCATCCATCCATCCATCATCATAATTATTCGAGAAAATAAATTCCACGAAAAAAAAAATATTTATTCGAACATTCATGAACACCGGCACGAACAATAATTTGACGAAACAATATACTTCCGCTTTCACAAAAACTCGGCAAGCTCATTAAAATAGCGAAGCGTATCGCGAAACGAATTTAATTTGCCCAGTGTGAACGATATTCCTTTTAATTCCTGCAAATTGGGCGGATTATAATTAAAATCACCAAATGAAAATGAATCTTTTACGCTATTTCAATGATACGGTGACGGTGAAACGGAAGTGGCGCTAGCGTTTGTTGCCTCCATTTTGTTCATTTCGTTGAACGAGAATCTCGCTCGAGAACGATTAATTGGGGGAAAAAAAAAAAAAAAAAGTTTCGAAAAAAATTTCCTCGTCGGAAATGATTTGATCGATCCTCGAAAAATGGACCGAGCCATAACTTTTCGACCAGATGATTTGTGATTGATACGTGTCAGCCCCGATTTTCACCTCTCTCGAGAATTAGATCGATATTCGGCTTGGCCCCGTGTGCGTTTCTACGCTATACGAATGTTTTTCAATGATTTCAAGTCGATTATTCGATTTCACGATAATTACGAGAATGTTGGACGCGTTTTGGATATTTTAACAATTAGTTAGAAAGATATTTTTTCTTTGAAAAAGATTTGTTACGTGAAAGTTATTACGAGTAAGTTGGAATTTATTCATATAGATAATGTCGATTTTTTTTGTTGATTTGAATTTTTTATAAATCTTTCATAAATTTTTTATATCTTTTTATAATCATTTAATTATGTAACTATCATACTATATTATTTAAGATATTTCAATGTTTTCAAAAAATATTGAAAAAAGCTATTACTTGTATTGTTATAATATATATATATATATATATATATATCACTGAAAGCCTGTTCCAATGGATGACATTAACCCATGTTATGGCGAATCCAAGAATAAACTTTCTTATGCTTGAAAGAATTATGACTGCATTTTCTGCATCCCAGCCAAATTAACCGGTTAAAAGGCCACGGCACATTTTATCCTTGTAGCCTCTTCTCTCCTCCTGCATAGCTGCAAGTTTGGGTGCAGACACGCTAAGCTTGTGAGCTTATAAGCAAATCATTTGGGTACTTGGTGAGGATTTATACCGAAGTTAATAGTAATACTTATTAAAATGTAAAAGCTAAAAGGTCCACTTTAATATTTTATTATTTTATTATTATATTTTACTATTTTAAAACATCCAAATAGAAAATTTTCTTCTTCTAATCTAACTTAACCTCTGAAACTTAACTTCTTAGGAGATTTAAAATTTTTATGGGATTTAATCCTTTTTTTTGTGTCATTGTCTTGTAAGAATATTATAAAATATAGAGAAAAATGAACAAGTCTTTTAATAAGTCTTTGATCTTTTAGTTTTTTCGTAAGCGATCCTTTAAAAGTTCAATAGTAGAGCAGTAAAAGTTCCTAGGAATTATTTATTCCCTAGATACTTTTCTAGATACTTCGAAGGTGCTATAGATATCGATATGATTCTTTTAAAACTGAAACAGTTCTAACAGAATGATAAAAACATTGAGAAAATTTACACTTTTTTTAAAATAATAATAAAAGAGTAATATATTTGTTTTTTTACTCGTCGAATAACAACATTTGCTCGCATTTTTTCTACTCTATCTTAATTGTGACAAAGAATGTTCTAACACATAACATAAAAATACGCGAAAGGGAATACGTATATCATACAAATAAAATGATATAAATACTTTTTCCCCCCGCAATCGATACTCGTTTTCAGAGTGACAGAATGTAAAAGTTTGTTTCGACATTCTGGTACAATTTTCTTTCACACGGTACCAACATATCGGCAGAAAAAATCGAACAGGAGGGAAACAACGTTCATAACGCAGACAGCTAGGGATTTTTTTTTTTATCGAAAATCTCTCGTATCGTGGACGGACACGAGATAATACTGGGGCGGATTTGTTTATCGATAATATAAAATTGATTTAACGTTTCGTGGCAAAATGGCGGACACAATTTGATTCATTATTCGCGGAACATTTCCGCTTCGAACGTCGAATCTTCGATTTATAGGCAGTATGTTAGATAGTGGAAACGAAGTTTGGATATTTTCGTTTGCTTTTTCCCTTTTTTTACAGGATTGAACAAATTTTCGGATTTATTTGCGCGGGAATTAAACTCGATAATGTCAGAGACTCGTTAAACCTTGGATTTATGACTGGAATATATATCTTGATATTTTTCACGAGTTTGTGTAAGTGTCGTGAATTATGGACGAATGAGCTGTCATCTAGGTATAGATTATGTTTGATTTATATCTCGTTGAAGATTTTCGATTTTTTGTATTTCGAATTGAAAAACGTTATTTATTCACTTGTATCGAATTGTTGCTAGAATTTTAATAATAAAACGATTTCTATTTATATTTTTAATAAAAAAAATATTTTTAAATTCATCGAATTTATCTCATTTCGCAATATTTTAAAATACGTATTATATATACATATTTCAACACGATAATTCGCTAGATTTTCAAGTAATTTTCGCGATCCACGTTGCATAATCCAATAATTGACTCGTTTCCCCCAATAATAAGAATTCGATGAAAATCTGGAACGATTGGGAATATTCGCGAACGATATCGTCGTCACGAGCGTAACGAAAATCACGGCGGGCGAGAGAATTAATTCGACGATAAAATCAGATTAGTCCATGGAACGAATAACTCGTCAAACTTTCGTCGAAATTTGCGCGACCGTGCGGAAAAAGTCAGTGTGACAACGAGGCGAGAGACACGAATGGATTTCCCGCGATCGAACTTTGCGAACGGAACAAGAAGAAGAAAAAGAAGAAGAAGAAAAAGAAGAAAAGAGAGGAAGAGATTAAAAGTGGAAATTGGAAAAAGGACAACGCAAATCGAATAAAACCAAACAGATTAA